TAAAATAAGCTATTTCTGCTCACCTCTTAGGGTCATGCATACCATGTTTTTTAGATCACTGGTCTATCATATAAGACATTAAATAATGACATTCAGTTGCACCAAAAATAAAAACACATTGCATTTGAGAACCATTATGCTGGGCACTATAGTCAGAAAAAAAAAAGACATATATTGTAATTTAATATAAAGCAAATGTGGAAAGGGACAAATGGTAAGTAAATAAATTTATAAAAGTTTATAGTATCTATATTGAGTATCACATGGTTCCTATTAAATTTCAATGGCAATTTATTTTTACTTATTAAAATAAACATTAAATAATTATTCTTACATTTAAAAATTATATTAAATAATTGTTGTTATAACACTGGCATCAGAATTCCTCTTACAGAACACATTTTTTTTGGTAGAATGTGATAAAAAAATATCACTTGGAGTAAAGTAGGCACACAACCATAAATGTTAGCAGGTGCTCAGCTATAAAAAGAAGAAATACTGCTCTCCATGAATCAAGATTAGAAAATGCATTATTTTCACTCCTGGAAGGGAAACAGGAGAGAAAATGCATGTGGGTCAAGAAAGATGAAGAAAGGCTGGAAATGGATGAGATATTGGGAGGACCAAGTGACATTTTTAAAACAGCTATTTGATTTGAAGTTGTTTTCATTGCCAGTAGGTGAACTTCTGAATCTTCTCTAATGAAAATCTCAATGAATTCTATTACACTAGAAAGTTTTATGTCCCATGAAATTTCTTATGTAGGGCAAAGAAAGGGCTATTTCAAGAATCAATAGAAAGTAGAACAATTTTGTTCACTAAAAGAGAATTTGGTTAAAAGTGAGTTAGCAAGGGGGCTTCATATTCATATGAAAAGAGAAGCATACTCATAAGGGAGACCACCATTTTATAGGAAGCATAATAAGGTAGAACTCTTTTAGAGATTAGAAGGAATATTGGTAGATTGTTTTGGCACTGAAGATAAGGACCCCTTACCCCCACCTAAGGCTATGAGTTACTGAGACAGGAAGTTATACTCAGCTTCATGCTTTATTTTACAAGTAAGTTAACATAAATGACATATATAGCGAATGTTCCTCTTCAGTTTTTTCAAACTCATTTGTTGAATCTGTAATTTTTATTTGAATCTGTTCTATTGGAAATATGGCTTATTAAAGAGCAAACTAAGAATAGGCATATTTTTTAACATTCTCACTATTAGGAAATTATATATTTTGATTCTTTAAGAATTTACATTGAAAAAATATATAGACTATTTAGAATATTTTATAGGTATAAAGATACATAGAATATATTTTATATGTATGTTTTATAATAGGTCATTCATTATGTCTCCTAGAAAAACTGTCTCTTAGTTTACCTATTTTTAATTCTGAACAATAGGACAGTGTGCTATAAAGTTTTCAAGGCTGATAAGACTACCACACATGAAATTGCTCTATTAAGCATAGGTCAAAACACTAAAGACATAATTTTTCTAGAGTTTTGTAATATAATTTAAAACATTGAGTTTATGTGATGTAGTAGGTAGGCACTCTGAGGTGTACTATAAAGAGATTAAAATAGTTCTTCATAGATGCTTCTTTAATTTAGCTAGGGGGCAAGAAACACAGGAAAAATTAAAGGACAGAGGACAGAATGTAAAATGTACTGTTCAATGACAGAGATAAAACCATGAATCAAAGTGACCAGGAACAGTTAGAATTAGGGAGGATCTTAGGGCTTATTTAGTGCAACTTTCTTATTCTTTTTTTTTGGATTTAGATCAATTTCCTATTTTTTAGATCTGGCAACCAAACTCTAATCTATTTATGTGATAGCCTAGGCCAAAAGCTGAGATAGAAGGAGAGGTGTGCTGCATGCCCAGCTAGGCCTGAGGGACCAGTCTCTTCTATTACACATCAGGGGCCCCCTGTCCTTGCGTACCCTCCCTCTTACTAGATGAGATGCAGTTACCAAGCATGGGCGACTTGGGAAGTTATATGCTATAGTCTAGGATTAGAGAAAACGAACATACTTATAGGATCCTTCTTGGAGAAAAACAATGCCAGATCCCAGAAACAAACTGGTCTAGGGCCTTGGAAGCGTCTTATTCAAGTGAAAGTCCTGGAGCCTAAACTTTATTAATTTAATGGAAGACCCATTCTCCCCCACCCAGATTAACTTAATTAACTTCCCACTGTTCTAACCAAACTGACTCATACCTGAATGTCTGAACTATTCATACTGTTTGCTGAGAAAACTTTCATCATGCCCTGGTGTGAAAGTCTTACCCACTGTTCAAGAACCAGGTACTCATCTTGAATGTAGAGCTATTTTGAAGAAAATATATAATTATATTATAGAATTATTTAATAAATAAAGAGCCATTTGTATTTATAGCTGCAAAACTAAAATGTATAAAGGTGTTTAATTGTCTCCCAAATAATCAATAAATGTAATGCAATGTTTAATTTTAAAGTTCATCTGAACAAAACAAACAAGACAAATGGGCCCTAGAACACAAAATAATTTTTCTGACATAACTTATTGAATTTACCAATTTAGTTAAGTTTCAGATCAGTAGAAAAGATGACATATATAATGAAAAATATTGATACAACTGTCCATCAATTTGGGGAAAAACTTTACATCTGAGATTCAATTTCAGTTGGATTAAGACTTTAATGGGGAAATGGATCTATTAAATTACTAGAAAATTAAAAGTTATTTTTTTACTATTTTGGAGTCAGAATTTTCAGTGAGATTATTAAACTTTAGTGAATTAGAAACAGATCCTTCTATTGCCAAAATTCTATCTAGTCAGAAATATTCTCATTTTTTTCTCTTTCCAATACCTCTTACCCATCTGTCAAGTTTTAGAGTCTACTAAATGATTATATAAATAAAGCAATGCAAAAATATTTGAAGTTAGAGGAATTGAGTTATTATAAATCATATTGTTGCAAAGAACTTCAGATGATATTTTATTTTCAGCTCTTATTTTTAATTCATAGTAGTTACAGTCAGAGGTTCCAGAATCTCAGAGCTTGAATGCACCTGAGAAGTCTTATAATATAATCTTCTCATTTTACATATTTAGAAGTAGGAGTTCAGGAGAGTTTTTTGATTTGCCTCATATACCACAGCAGTGGTAGATGAGCTAAGATTAGGAGTAACCTTTCCTAAATTTCAGTTCTGTGCTTCATTTATTAAGTTAAAATTAAACCATGTATGAGTCAAACTGATATGATAGCAAACAGTAGTCTTGGTTCTGTTACATTTTTTTATTCCTTACAGAGACAATATTTTCAATGTCTTTCTTGCTGGAATGTAAATGCACATCCACCTTAAACTGTACATGTTAGAGAAAAAAATTAAATCACAAAAAAGGCAATTAACTTCTCACAAAAAAGTCTTACTGATAGCCAGAGATTAATCTATTGAAGTGAAAGCAGCTTAAATTTGGGCCTTTCATTTTCAAGCCCCTTCCAATTTACATCCTTCAGACTATCCAATGTATGTCAGAAGTTATAAGTTGGAAGAACACATAGAAAAAAAAGTGTAATACTTTTAATTTCCACATGAAGATGACTGGTACACATAAATAGTGGTCAAAATCAGTTTTTGGATAGTGAGTGAATTGTTTTTCACTGTATGCTCTTTCCTATGTCTTCGGTAAGCTAAATTGGGGCCTTACAAAAATTGATACTACATCACTTCACGTAAAAAAGTTCAGAAAGAAAAATCCAGCTGTCAGATATAAGTAGGCATTTTAAGCATTCAAACCTTGCTCTAAGGAACAGTGAGTCATATGAAATGTAATGTGCAAAGGAAGCTGACACATAAAAGGACAGAACAACAATGATGAGTTCCCAAAGACATGCTGTGGGACAAAGAATAATTATAGAGGGTCTATTTTTGGGTCCAGTAGAATGAATGACTTGTGAATTTAAAAATCAGAAGAAGGAATTATGTCACCCAACTTTGAATTTAAGATAAAATAATTTAGTAGACTATTTTTCACTAATGCTATTATGGTTTGTTAGGATGATACAAAATTGAATTATTAAATACTTTGCAGTCTAAAAATGTTAGGACAGGAAAACTACTTTAATTGTGTCCATGGTTCTGAGGTATAATAATAATTACATAATTGATATCTGGCATGGAAATATATTGCCAAATATACAAATAAGAAGACAACCCATCTGTAACAGCCATCTTTTTGAAAGCACAATTGCCCCTGAAGCTTGTAATTAATGACCAGGATTGAAGTGGAAACTGCTTTGCCCCAGGGAGTTCTAAAAATAGTATCCTGAGTAACTTCAGTCATTAAAACAGCCTGCCCCCCATTTTCCTGTTCCCTTATTATAAATGATACCCTCTTATGTTCGAATTATGGGAAGCTTTACAGCTGTTTATAGTAATGTAACTGTGACTGTGTGCATCAGAAAATAAAGAACTCTATAAAGGAAAGGAATTTAGCTCCTTTCCTAGGAAGCAACCTAGCCCTATTATTTTATGATGTTAAACGTAATTTGTTTCTTTATCTCAAGATATAGAAACACACACACACATATATACTTATACCAAAGGTAGCCACAGACATTACATACATGTATGTGTGGTGTGTGTATGTGTGTGTGTGTGTGTGTGTGTGTGTGTGTGTGATGTTCATGGCTTTTATTAGCAAATTACTAATTCAAGTTAATTTAACACTCCTAGTCCTCTGACCAAGGGTACAAGAACATGGGGACTAAATCCCTACCTAAAGTTCCCAAAGAAGTGACAGATGCCCTTAAGTCCATCTTCATCATTATTTTGCTAGAGTGCCTTTCAGGTTTTCCTATATTCAGAAGTTATTGAAATTGTTATGCATTATTCTGTGTAATCTTTCTTACTATTGTTAATATGTTCACATTATCCTTGACTTCACTGAAAATCCAACATGTTACTTTTATTAGGTCTTGAATGTTCTTTTGTGATGTACGCAATACCTGAAAGTAGGGCCATCCAAGGTTTTGATGGGTGGCAGCACAAGTGGCTGGTGTATCATCGCAGGACCCTGGATGACAAGAGAAAATTCTTGTGAATTTGGTAATATTATTAGTGGATAGTGGGATTTTATACAACTTAAAGCTATGTACTAGTGGCTTTGTTTTTTGTTAAAATCATAAACATACATATTTTAAATGTTGCATTTTAATGGGAAGCTGGGAGAATTTATATAGGTACATTAGGCTGCCACCATGCCAACCTGGAAGTAATCAAGAACTTTGTTCTTGTCATCTTATTTCTTAAGAGTAAAGATTTTAAGAGGCACAGACATGGAAGATGGTCCCTGTTTGTTCAAGATCTTAGCACTGGGAAGAGGTGGATACCCTGAAATATTAAGGAGAAAGGCTGTTTCCAGAAGAAATGACTTGGTCAGTGATTCTGAACAGGGAATGATGTGGCTGGTTCAAAGTACAGAAAGAGGGTCAACATATTAAAATAGGATGAATGATGAGGAGAGAGTGAAATAGACCTTGTGAAAGACGGAGCCAGAGGCTAGTCAGTAATGTCAGTAATGAGATTCAACTCTTCTTAAATATAGGCATTACTAAAAAGTGAGATTCGTTCACTCACTGTTCAGGAAAGACTTACTACATGTAAACATGATGTGCATGTATCTTTTAGAGTCAAACTAATTTTGAAGGCAAGATTTAGCTATAATCTTGTTTACCATGCTTTGCATTTACACAGTATTTGTAGAACTTCAAAAACATCAAATTTGTGTTTGTAATTACTTATCTCCATTAGCTCATACTGTGATTTGTGAACTTATTCTTAAGTAAGATAATCAATTTGCTACTTCTAACAATAATCTGTGAATTATTGCCAAGGGTTTCTATGAAGTCAATAGGTATCATTAGATGAAAATGCAAAAGTTTTGAGAAAGCTTATGCTAAGAACAATCTCTGTAATCAAATTTTTGCAAATCAAAAAACATTTTTGGATTACTTATAAAGTTACTTTGTAAATTTTTACAACTTCACATTTTTAACAATTTAATATATGCTACAATTAGGATCATCATTCGGTCATATTAAAGAGATGTGTATTTTTACATCAGCAGACATTCTATATATATTTAGAATCTGGTTTTTCTACAAGTTATTTTGGAAAAAATAAAAATTCTTGTCAGTCTCAGCCTTTAGTGGCATGCACAGGGAATTCCAAAGGTTCAAAGTTGAAGTTTATTTTGAGTATTTTCCCAACTTGGCAGAAAATGCCACATGAAGTAGAAATGACCATGGAGTGTTATCATTTTTTTTCTTCATGGTTCTAGAGATTTTATTTTTCATCTCAGCTGAAAAATGCTATGAAAGAATCTTTCTACCTTTTGGGTGATTTGGAATAAATAGAAAATAAATATGTCAGTGGTTACTTCTGGCTATTAGAAAATTTATATTAGTAAATTTGGGTTGGTAAATGTGTTGCATGATTAATAAATTAATGTGTATATCAACATCATCTTACTTCTACTTTCCCCTGAAAAAATATCAGTGTCTGTAGTACCAAAATGTAATTAATATCTAAGAAGAAAGGATATAAAGGAAATAATATAAAGTCTTAATAAAAAATGATAAGGATACCTAGGGAAAACTCAAAAGAAAGCTAATTTCTTTCAAGTAGCACCATTGGCTGAAGTCATTAGACCATGAAATAAAAATCACTTAAACCCTAAACACACAGAAAAGAAACACAGCAACTAAGAATACTAAACCTGAGTGATGTGATGTTACCAGGATGAAGCACAACAAGTAAGCTGAAAGAAAAAAAATGCAAACCGAACTATTTTTATTAAGAAGAAACCAAAACCTTGAAGAAATACATTGGTTAAGTTCAGCTGATGGGTGTAAGGGCAATCAAGTGGTTTCCAAAATGAGGGATTATGTGAAAGACACAAACTCTAATGCCTATCTGTGGTTTCTATATATAAGAAATAACCTATACCACAGTAGAAAGACACTATCTCTTTCAAAAAATTTTCAAGATCCATAAATGATTTTAAACATGCAAAAACCTGCAAGAAGCACACTATACGTGTCATTATATATTTGTCCAAATTCATAGAATGTGCAGACACCAAGACTGAGCCCTAATCAAGCTATGGATTTTGAATGATGGTGATGTGTCAGTGTAAGGCTTCATCAGTTGTAAACAAATGTACCGTCTTTTGGGGAATACTGATGAGGGGTACACATGAGTGGGGATGGAGAGTGTATGGGAAATCTTTGTTCTTTCTCTTTAATTTTGCTGTGAACCTAAAACTGCTCTAAAAAGCAATCTACTAAAAAAAAAACACACTCATCTGAATGGAACTGTTTGTGTTTTTCCTGTCTATATTTTTAAAGGATATTTTAATGTGTATTTGATGGGGTTTTTGAATAAAGGGAAATGAAAAGTTAGGGATACGATTCTAGGCATTATCAATTTGTGTTCTTGTTCATGGTAAGAAACGCTATTCATACATTCCCACTTTTAATAACAATAAAATATATTCTCTCCTTTCTCTGAACCACCTAACCAAAAAGAGAGTTTGCCTCATCTTAAATAATTTTAAGAACAAGCAACTTAGCTGTAATTGTACAACATCAAGTCACTGCTCCCCAGTTAAAAACAAAGGTTTCAGAGGAAGATTTTAATTTGTTTTACATACAAATTTGCTGCAATTCATAATCAAGGCAATGCAAATTAAAACTACAATGAGATACTACATTATGCTCACCAGACTGGCAAAAATTTTAAAGTTTGACAATAATACAAAGTATTGGAAAGGATGTGGTGCAATGGAAATACAGTATTGGAGGGAGAATAAATTGGTACAAGAACTTTGAAGTGCTAGGATTCTGACATCCCCCTCATAAATATATTCCCTAAAGAAATTCAGACACATGTGTACCAAGAGATATGTAGAAAAATAAATCCGTTGCTTCATTGTTTGTAATAGCAACATGATGGAAGCAATCCAAATATCTCTCGGCAGGAGAAAGGATACATGCTCTGTGCTACATTCATACTATGGCATGCTGAAACAGTGAAAAGAAAGAGCCACAACTACATACTTTAACACTGATGCATCTCCAAACCTAATACTGAATGAAAGAAGCAAGTCTCTGAAGACTATATTCAGAATGATTCCACTTTCATCAAAGCAAAAATAAAAACTGCAAAACTAAATAATGCATTGCTTAGGAGCACATTATATGTGGTAAAGCCTTAAAATAAAGCAAAGGAATGATTGGTACAAGTTTTGGGTAAAGGCTTACTTGTGGGTAATGTATGTGTGACTTAATCAAGGAGGAACATGGTTCTAGGTATACAGGCATTTATTTATTTAAATAGTACATTTATACTATACATAATCTCTATGTACACGATTTTAAAAATTATAAAACCTTTTATGTAATCTATACAGAGTATGATTCTTTACTCTGTAATCATGTATTTTTTGTAGATTTATAGATCAAATTATCAAAATACAATGTATTTGGGATAGGTTAGGGGGTTGTATAGAAGGTACAGCTGCCTCATATACAACTTGTAATTGCTTCCTTCTTTCAGAATATTATTAAGATTAGAATGCTTTTAATATTTTATGAGACTGACGCGCTGCCCACTGCGCCAAGAGGTCCCCGAATGTTTTTAATATTTTAGAGTTAAATTATAGTCATACAATTTAAACACTTAAAAGTTGTATATATATTATTTAGGTGTGTGAATTCTACTTGACTTTAGGTTACTTTTCTAGTTATATGAAAGACATTTTGGAACACCAATGATGAACAACCTGTGAATTAATGTATATGTGCATGCCTTATTTTGTATGTGTGTGTGTGTGTGTGTGTGTGTGTGTGTGTCTTTATTTACCTCTGAGTCCAATGAAAGAGAAAAGAATCAGTAAAGTCGTATTTTGGATTATTATTATTATTCCCAAATTCCTAACACTTTTAAGTTAGGATGACTCAGACAGGGAAATTGTACCCCCTAATCGCAAAACTAAGAATTCTCGAACCTAGAATTAGAAGAGCACGTAATATATGTGTCTTACTAGTCAATGTAAATTTTTGCTAATTATTTCATTATTTAGAATGAGAATCATGTGATTTAAATATGTGCCTTGTTCACACTTTTCTTTTGTTATTGTAAATCTGAACCCAATAATAGTTAGGTCTTATTCTCACTATATTCAGGATTCGGTAAAGAGAAAACTGTTTCCAGGGCACACAGGGATCGTAGAAACGTCATCTCCTTCTGTGTGCTGAGCCACCCCAGACTGAATAGGTAGGTTTGGAATGAACAAAGGGATTTGCAATTTACCAAACAGCTCTACTACTTTAGAGGTGGTATAATTAATGTAGTCCAATTTCTGGGCTACCTTTTGAGAAACTGTCCTAGACAAAGACATGCCAGTAGGTCAAACTTCATGAACCCTCTACTGAAAAGTAGAGTCTTTATCCTGACCAACTGGGTCCAAGCCTTAGGGCATGTTTATCACCCACGAGGTGGTGTTTGCTTCCACAACTTCTTCATAAACACTCTTCACCTCTTATCAGAAGGAATAACCCCAGCTTAACACTCAGCCTCATCCCCAAAACTAAGGGCAGATAAGGTTTTCCTATCTGAAATGTTAGACCAAGCATCTGGAAGTCATTTGCATACTAATTTTTTGTCCATGGCCATGCACATCTTAATTTATATAGTTCATTGCTAGATTTTTATTTCAGTTAGAAATATGTCTCACTGAACCAATTTATCTTCTTTGATAGCCTCTCCTTTTATCTTCTCTTTCTTTTCCTCTCTTCAGTCTGTTCATCTCCCTTTTCTTTTCCCAGTTTCTCTTACTTTTAAATCCTCACTCTGGTTTTATAGTGGTCATTTTATTCAGTAAACAATTATTACTAAATTAATTACATTCTTACAGCCATATGCATCTATTCTCCAGAAGAAAATTTTCTCTTCCCTGTTCTCTGTGCTACAGATTGGCCTTTCACTCCTCAATCTTGCTCCTTTCATTTA